CTCATATATGGCAAACGGACAAGAGCAACATGACAAACTACTTTATAGTATGATGAATAACCTTCAGAATGCTGCTGTCGTATTGAATGTGAGTTCTCTAAACCAAGTAATATTTGAAAACACGTCATTAACTCTGTTGAGATCATATCAGAATCTTGGAAGGTCCCAGAATATTGTTTTAAAGCCACCAGCTGATGTAAGGCGGGCATGGGTATCGTTATTCGTGTTAGCATTTAACAATATCTACAATTTCCTAGGAAAGCTCTTGTACGTTGCTGATAACCTGTCAGAGCACTATTAAGACGACAGGAACCTCCGCGGAATAAAATGATGGACACTCCAGTATCAGAGGTTGAAGGAAATAAGAATTGAATTCCACAAGGTTTTTGTCCGTGGAATCGTTCTGGAGATACTGTCAGGCTGTCTGGTCAGGATATGAAAGGCTTCGGAGTTCGTTTAATTTGTCATCATCCATGAAATTGACAAAGGCAATATCAAATTCTTAATTGATGCCAGCTATATAGAGCCGTGGTAAGGCCCACAGAAGCCAGCATGTCAAGAATACAAGTTTATTACCAATATCTGCCACTGTGTCTTGGCACAATACACGCTATATACACCATCCCTAGATGGTATTTTAGTAGCCAGTCTGATACTGTTGGATGTTCTCTAAGCAAGGTTTCCGTCAATACTGATTAACTGGACAACATTTGTACCATTCAAATCCAAGGAAACAACGTCAACGACGATCGTTCCAACCAGTAATGATAAACATTGCCTCGTTTTCGTGGACGTAACCGCAAGGGCTGGATGCTCACTTGTCCACATGGGCAGTGTCTGTTTATTTTGGCAAAATTCCATCTACTGATATAGTGGAAGGGGCATAACTTTCATAAAACATGTGCGATCTCTGAAATCATGTAGGAATGCGAGTCGTGATTAATAGTTCTGGTCTGTATATTTCTTGTGATATGAAGACAAGATACCATTAATATATCAAAGAGTGAAATTAACAGACTTTGTAAGGTCTTAATTGATATCAATAGTTGACATGATCCTGGCTTCCGAATTATTTGAAATTTTAACACAAAATGGTCAGTGAATTTAGTTTTAATACATTTCGTAGACCTTTTGATTATAACAAAAAGTTAAAAGTGAAAAAAAAAATATTTCGCTCTTTTGACCCAAAAATTATATCTCCTTTTGGTTGCTTATAAGAAACAAGCGGAAAATGAAGGCATGCGAGATAAATAAATTGCGACTGTTTCTAAATATGAAATATGATGACTTTACTATAGAAAAGAGAAGCTACTTGATGAACTGAGAAAGCATTGTAATTGTTACTTTTTGCTTTGATTCGGTATGAGTTATCTCCCTGTTTCACCCACAAGTCATTAATCAGAACACGTGGTTGATATATAACACCTTTATTATCATTTTATTTAACAAAACTATATCACGTTAAACTGTTATACTTTATATGTATTGTATATATGCTATCTTTACAAATATTTGATTATAACTATGACACACAAACTAATGCACACTAATCTACTGCATAAATCTACTCAATCGTTTTCCAATCGTACGACAGTCCAATATCAGCATCAACACCTTACATTAACCGTAAATTAACGTCTTTTGTGTTTAAAGTTTTCTATAATGCATTTCTGTTTATGAGCGTTAATGTTATATAGCAGTTATCAAAGCAAAACACACCTGTAATTCGGGACAAAAGAATGTTTTTTACATATCGAATGGATGTTTAATTTGAAAAAAAGTATGAAACGCACTGGAATTTAAATGACACTGGTTGAATGTCTGCTAGGTATGTTATGATTTACTCCATTACGCTTATGCTCAAAGAGGTGTGTATCTGAAAAGGTATATTTGTCACTGCAGATTCAATAATCTTGCTATTATCTATTACAACATATATATTCTTCCTACTTATTTTCACAGGTTAAACAGAGATATCCTATACAATTCAAATGTGTGAAACCTATGTGAACTTTTATCTGGACACTTATGTTTAAGATTCCATGTTTCTGCATTTATAACAATTTTTGTGTAATTGCAAACAAAACTTGAAAGATTGAAATTTTGCAAATCCAATCAAATGTGATTAATGATCAGGACACATGGTTGGAAATGTCTTTCAATAAGTACGTTTAATAACCAAAGAAACTTTTCCCTGCCGTATAAAGCATCCTTGTTATCCGGCCTTGACCTCAAAGGTAATCGTGATGTATACCTGCTGCAGGATTTTCGTGCCCACCTCCTTCCCGAAACCTGACGCTTGCACCGACATCCTTCCGTACTTGCTACATCACCATTATCGTGGTCGTTTCCCGTACCCGTTTCCTGATCATTGTTCTGGCATCCTCCTTTGCCAAGCCTTCCCCAACCGTTACTTAACTTTTACTTTGACAGCCCTCCACACCCGATACCTGATCAAAACTCTGGCAGCCGAACACACCCGTTACCTTAGCATAACTCTGGTAGGCCTCCACACCCGATATCTGATCATAACTCTGGCAGTCCTCCACACCTGTTACCTGACCATTTCTCTGCAGCCCTGCGCTAACAGCTACCCGATCACAAGTCTAACAGCCCTCCACACCCGATACCATATCATAACTCTGGCAGTGCTCCACACCGTTACCTGATCATTATTCTTGCAGCCCTCCACACCCGATACCTGATCATAACTCCGGAAGCCCTTCACACCGTTACATGATCATAACTCTGACAGCCCTCCACACCCGATACCTTATCATAACTCTGGCAGCCCTCCACACCCGATACCTTATCATAACTCTGGCAGCCCTCCACACCGTTACCTGATCATAACTCCGGCAGCCCTCCACACCCGATACCTGATTATAACTCTGGCAGCCCTCCGCACCGTTACCTTATCATAACTCTGGAAGCCCTCCACACCCGATACCTTATCATAACTCCGGCAGCCCTCCACACCCGTTACCTGATCATAACTCCGGCAGCCCTCCACACCCGTTACCTGATCATAACTCTGGCAGCCCTCCGCACCGTTACCTTATCATAACTCTGGCAGCCCTCCACACCCGATACTTTATCATAACTCTGGCAGCCCTCCGCACCCGTTATCTTACCATTTCTCTGCAAGCTTCAGCACCCGTTACATGACCATTATTCTGGCAGCACTCCGCATCTACCTAATCATTATTATGACAACCCTCAACATCCCTTACCTGACCATTTCTCTGGCAGCCCTCAACACCGTTACCTGATCACAACTCTGGCAGCCCTCCACACCCGATACCTTATCATAACTCTGGCAGCCCTCCACACCGTTACCTGATCATAACTCTGGCAGCCCTCCACACCCGATACCTTATCATAACTCTGGCAGCCCTCCATACCGTTACCTGATCATAACTCTGGCAGCCCTCCACACTCGATACCTTATCATAACTCTGGCAGTAATCCACTACTGTTACCTGACCATTTCTCTGCAGCCCTTCGCACCAGTTACCTGACCATTACTCTGGAAGCTGTCCGCGCCCTTTACCTAATCATTACACTGTCAGCCTTCTGCGCCCTTTACCTAATCATTACACTGTCAGCCTACCGCGCCCTTTACCTAATCGTTACACTTTCAGCCTTCTGCGCCCTTTACCTAATCATTACACTGTCAGCCTTCCGCGCCCTTTACCTAATCGTTACACTGTCAGCCTTCCGCGCCCTTTACCTAATCGTTACACTTTCAGCCTTCTGCGCCCTTTTCCTAATCGTTACACTGTCAGCCTTCCGCGCCCTTTACCTAATCGTTACACTGTCAGCCTTCTGCGCCCTTTACCTAATCATTACTCTGTCAGCCTTCTGCACCCTTTACCTAATCGTTACACTGTCAGCCTTCCGCGCCCTTTACCTAATCGTTACACTGTCAGCCTTCCGCGCCCTTTACCTAATCATTACTCTGTTAGCCTTCCGCGCCCTTTACCTAATCGTTACTCTGTCAGCCTTCCGCGCCCTTTACCTAATCGTTACTCTGTCAGCCTTCCGCGCCCTTTACCTAATCGTTACTCTGTCAGCCTTCCGCGCCCTTTACCTAATCATTACTCTGTTAGCCTTCTGCGCCCTTTACCTAATCGTTACACTGTCAGCCTTCTGCGCCCTTTACCTAATCATTACACTGTCAGCCTACCGCGCCCTTTACCTAATCGTTACTCTGTCAGCCTTCCGCGCCCTTTACCTAATCGTTACACTGTCAGCCTTCTGCGCCCTTTACCTAATCATTACTCTGTTAGCCTTCTGCGCCCTTTACCTAATCGTTACTCTGTCAGCCTTCCGCGCCCTTTACCTAATCGTTACTCTGTCAGCCTTCCGCGCCCTTTACCTAATCATTACTCTGTCAGCCTTCCGCGCCCTTTACCTAATCGTTACTCTGTCAGCCTTCCGCGCCCTTTACCTAATCGTTACACTGTCAGCCTTCCGCGCCCTTTACCTAATCGTTACACTGTCAGCCTTCTGCGCCCTTTACCTAATCGTTACTCTGTCAGCCTTCCGCGCCCTTTACCTAATCGTTACTCTGTCAGCCTTCCGCGCCCTTTACTTGGCCTTAGCTTTGGTCGCATTGCCATGTGTTTGTACGGAGCAATGATCATAAATCGAGTAAATGTAGCTATCGGAGCCGAAATAAAGGTACCAATCGCAAAAGGAGGGTAAGATAGACAATCAGGAGAATTAGGAGTAGGCCAGACCAGTGATCAGGTATCAGGTACGGGGGTTTCAATGTTAATGGCCAATTAACGGCCATAGAGGACAGACAGTGCAATGGTCAGGTAACGGATATGGAAGACAGGTCATAACAATGGTAAGGTAATGAGCACGGGAGACTGACCATGACAAAGGTGTGGTAGCGGATACTAAGGAAAGTCAGAACAATGATGAGGGTATGGAGCAGTGCAGCAATGGTCAGGAAACGGGTACGGAATGCTACCACAGTAAAGATCTGGCTATTGTTTAAAACCTAAAAACTGTTTCTCGAAGCTCGTGGTAACATGAGGCTTAATATTTTTTTCTTCGGTAAGTTCCTCTTCTGGAAAAAATGCCGGGACTTCATTTTTCCAGTCAATGATATGAAAATACTTTACAACTGCGACTAATGGGATCCAAAGAACAGAGGACATGACCAACAAAAATGCAACTACCAGACACCACCATGGCAACGGGACGGTCACCGGGAAACCCTGCAAACATACGAAAGACCAATGTAAAGATATATCAATAGATGAATGTCGTTTGATTAATTTTGTTGTGTCTTTAGACTCGTGTCAACATACATCATTGTATTGTAATTGTCATGTTGATATGTATAGAAACATTTACATAAACCATTCAGAGATAACTGTGTAACAAAAGCTATTTAAAACCAGAATTTTGTTTCGTTATCATTTTTCTTCCACAAAAAAGGTATTACTATTAATAAAAATTTACTGAAGATCTGCCCATTAATTTGGTTTAAATAATGTATCTTCTTAGAAATGGACATATTGATGCGGCTAATATTAGAAATATCTCATCGCAAAATTATATCAAACTGATTTATTCTGATCACGACACACACACACACACACACACATACATACATAGCACACATACAAACCTTACATTACATACATACAATCATAGATTTAGTGTTGATTTGATGCGGTCTTCACAAATAGTGCGAAATCAAATATTCATCACACAGTAAATAGTTTACCTTTGTCGCATCCCATATATCGTATGATAATCCATCAGAAAACATTTCTATGATGCTGGCGAGGAATATGATCACCATAGCGACTGGACCTACATACTTCCAGCATATCAAGAAGAAGTAACTGGGCCGTTTGCCAATCATCATCTCAATATCATAGGACAATCTGAAATCCAGAACATGTTATTAAAACATGGGTATTGTTTTCATTCACGGGTTCAAATGAATCGTGCTTTAGAAATAAGGACCGCACTGGAGGAAAATGGTTTCCTAATCAAATAGCGGGCAACTAAACAGAAATACACATTTCATTTACTTAACTTCAGGTTCAGTATCGGTTTGGGTGTATGGTTTAACATACACACATGATCAAATGTAAATATTTTTTGAGTAAGATCAACTGAAATCATATTTACATCAATTTACTGGCAATATTTGTTGAAAGATTTATTGAGATCGCCTCTCATTAAAGTGTGATTTGGCCCAGGAATTGAAAATACAGAGCTATAACTAAATGCAGATTTACTTTAGTGTATTAGATACAAAATAAGCCAAATAGTGATGATATAAATGTAGCCATTTCAAAAGGTTTTGGAAAATTATTCCTCCATTAATTTCCCCATACTGAATTTTTCTTTTGTCTAATTTCAAACCGACAGATGCTTTTCACTTTGCCTCAATTATTCTAGTTAACGCTATAAGAAGTTATATTAGCAAATTAACCAACAGAAAAGAAAACAAAATGCTGAAAATAACTAACGCTGAATACAAACGACCTGAATATGACCACTGCAGGATGCATACGTATTACCCATCCAAAAAGTCGTACTTGTATGTAATTTATTACATATACAATGTACAGATCATTATGTCCTGCATTGTCATATGCTTTGCGAATATCACAAAACTGCATTATATCTGACTGCTTAACGCTTTCACCATAAATCGATAGCATTAATCAAAATGTGGATAGAGAAACAGATACTGTATAAAAATCATTTGAATTTTTAAAAATATTTATTTATATATTTATACTGTTTTATAAGAACATGAGTCATAGTTACGAATGTTTACGTTAAACATTACCTGTTATAGTCGTTTATGTTTGACATACTTACTGGTCCAGGCCATATATATGGGAGACAGCTATACACTCTATAAAGGCGATGATAAGTAGAGGAATGTTTGCAGAGAAGGCGTCGAAGAGGAAAAACACGTATGAGCCAGTGGATGTTGTGAAACACAGCGCAATGATGAATGAGAGCAGACAAACCACACCTGAAATAAATGATGGTTAAGATACCATTAATTATACATAAAATACAGAACGAGGTACTATCAGACAGTTATACAAGCATTACATGTGAACTGGAGTCAAATAAGTTGTTGACACGTCACCATTACTTCTAAGGATTTCAATGTAATTTCATACTTTATTTGTTCTTAATGTATATTTCATGCAGTCAGCATGGCCTCAAAGTTATATTGTTGCTATTTCCACTTTCACATTATGTTACCGTTTGTAATCCCTTGATGCATTTTGTGACGTATCATTAGAATAAATGATGTTGCTTGTTCTCCAAGGAAATCGGTTTATGAGAATGATTTCCGCCTTATGAAGGCGTGGCCGTTTGTCAGTAAAACTGAAGACGATGTAATGGCAACCCATTTAGAAGGATTTACACACTGAGGTTGGAGTTTCATTATGATTTGTGTTGATCTTATTGATGCATGTAACTAGAAAAGGAGTCTTTTGCCAAAGAGACGCTTCATACCCTTGGCGTGCACCTCAGGGTAAGCAATCGGTTTCATTTTACAAAAGATAGATACTAAAATGTATACAACCATACCACACATGATTTCCCTGCGAACCCCTGGAAAGAGCATCATGTCGTTGATGGAGGTGAGAGCGCCTTCTAACGTGCCGAACATGCTGTCCAGACCGAGAGTGAAAAGCATAAGGAAAAATAGGATAGACCAGAGCTGTGCCACCGGAAATTGGTTGATCGCCTCTGTAAACGCTATAAATGCCAGACCTGTCCCAGAGCCAGACTACAGCAAAATAAAAATTTTAAATTACTTAACTTGTTGTGATTTTTGGGTGGCTGCAATTTTTGCGACTATACCAGACGTTTAAAGCGAAAAAGGATGTCATTTCATGGATCTCATTTATGTACTTATTTTCCTCAATTAACAATTGTGAAAGAAAAACTTGAAAATAACAACTTTTACAGTCTTACACTTTGTAACAAACACAAAATTATATTATTGCATTACGATATGGTATCTGCTGTTGTGGATACTTACAGCAATAAGTAGGTCATACGAATTAAATTAATGAATTGACCATGCAAGAGTGATTTTGATATAATTTTTATTAACATTAATAAAGAAGCATTTTTCTTATATGGAGAATTTAGAAATTGCATTCCTACCTGTGATATCATAACGGGAACAGAATTAATTTCATGGCTTTTTACCATTTAGTGTCACACGCCACATAACTAGTAGCTTCTTCCCGTGAATGAAGAAGGTCATGCGTTAATTTGTTCAATCTAGATAATTGGATTATCTCAAAGAGTGTGTTCAGCAAATAATAACCATGCAAATAATTGATGATTTCATTTTGCGAGAGTTTGCTCCCCTTCTTGTTGTTTTACTCTAGGTCAATAAAACCAGAACCTTTGCCTACTTGTGGTTTTTAACAAAAGGGGGATCACTGCTTGTTGACTAGCATTTAGTTTAGATATGAAGGTTGTATGGTATCGTCAACCAATTACAAGCGTAGTCTGATGCAAGTCATGTATGTGATGTTTCCTTTTTCTTATCTTAAATGATCTTTGATTATTCAGCAGCACTAAGAATGACTTAAGCCCGTGTTATACATTGTATATGGTGATATCAATAATAAGAATGACACCATTAATGTTGCCTGAAGTGCTAACCTCCACCAGGATTGTTTTGAAGTCACAGGTATGGTTGACATGGGAGTGTCCGTTAGTGATCACATCGCTACCATTACCATACTTTTCAAGACACTCCTCGTAAGCTATTGTAGCTTTGAAACCTGGGAAAAAAAATATCGAGAAGGATAAGAAAACCAAGCGAAAAACAGTCTATGTCATTTTGTAAATCTTGAGACTAAATGAAAATGCGCTTTACAATAAGTGAGTAAAACCAAATATGTTATTAATTTGATCATGATTTGACATCTGGTGTAAATCAAATTTGATCATCTACGTTGTAAATCTTTAATTAACACTTTTCTAAAGTTTTATAACCAACAAATGGTGATATTAGTTAGTACACATACCTAGTAGAAAGAACAATTGCCGACATGTTGATACATATCAATATATTTAGCTTAACCAGTTTGGTGCTCGTGTAAAAGGATCATAAATCTACTATAGATTGAAACCAATTACCCTGAACTCTGTTTACTGACCGTTACTGTGATGAAGGTGACACAAATGTCAGCGTTATATTATATATCAACTTTTGGCGGAAATTTCCTAACGTGAAGGTTATTTACAAAGAATAAAGGTCAACTTACCGAGTATGGAGAAAACGACTGTAGCAGTGAATATGGAAGTGAAAAAGTCACAGATGGTTACAAAATAAGCCTGTTTTGCGAAGTTGTTTCTGACGGGGTTGTAGGAGGAGAGGGCAATCAGACAGCCAAACGCCAAACCGAAGGAGTAAAAAATCTGAGTGGCAGCGTCCAGCCATACCTTAGGGTCGAGCAGGGACTTCCACTGGACAAAGCACGTTAATGAGCTGAGTAGTTTATATATAGTTAAAAAAACGGAGACCGATCGTAATTTCAATTTGCTTTCTGTAGTTAGATTTGTTTACCAGTTCAATCATTTGTCAAAAATAAATACATTACGATGGGAATTTAGTTAAAGCATTAAATTAGTGAGAAGAGATAAAAATGACATTTATAATACTGCATACCTCTGGTACAAACAAGTGCCATAACCCTTTCTCAAATCCACGCAAAGTGATACCTCTGAAGAAGAATATAACGAGCACCAAGTATGGAAACGTTGCTGTGATATACACCACCTGTTAAGAAAGAATAACAAACATTTGGGTTTAAAATTACTACAAGATAGCCATGTGAATACCTCTATGAAGACTTTGACTAATGCTTTTTCAAATAGTTTTTTTTTTCAAAAATGCTATGGCATATTTTATTTGAAAGCTATTTACTATAATGAACAGTTAAGGTCATAACATACTATGAATCTTTAAATTCTGCATTGTTGCATTTTTGTGGGTTTCTCGATATTTCCATCATTTCGAGGGAAAAAAGAAAATTCCATGAAATGTCATGGCACACTGTTACAACTGTGTTGAAAAATATCACTCCCTTGACCATTTTTAAACGTATTTTTGATTGAAATTTTTCAATAAATTGCAACAATAAATTTTGAAGAGCGGCGTGTATGTTAAGAGAAACATGTATAAGTTATTACCAGGTATTCTGATGAACAGATTATGATGTCACACGTGTTCCATTTACGAATATTTCTTATTGTTTTGGTACCTTCCAAACCTTTTAAAAATATTCTGTCAACACTTAAAGTCAAAGACAAACTGAATGTATCCGTGGTTCTAAATAATTCAAATTCTGCTGGTTTAACACTACTAGTGGGACTCAACATTTGTTTGTTTGTTGTTGGCATTACGTGCTTGCAGCAGTTATAGTTATATGGAAACTTTGCAAATGATACACACAGGGGTATGTTCAAAGTGTCATTACACTGAAATAATATATAGCTGACAACTTTTTCAATGCTTAATCATTATTGTTGACGACTTGAAGCGGACGTCAATAGCAAAAAAGAAGAATACAGATGTATTGGATTTCGACTCGTTGAATTTAGATGTAAAGCCTTTTTAAAAAATCTTTATTGATCAATGTCGTAATAATATGGCATTTGGGAGGACGCAAAAAACGGTCATTCGGTATACAGAGTGAGCGTAAATGGAAGTATTCGACCTGGGTAAGACGGAGGATATAGTACTCTCAACTCTCATACTTAGTATAGTACAGTTAAGTAGCATTAGAATGTATGCTTCACCAAGAGGCAGATACCAAAATACCGTAGTCTCCCACATACACACGCATTCAACACCTATACACTTCTCGTATATATAGAGAGGAAAAATACTATAGTTGTTGACTGGACGTTAACAATGTGAATCCAGGTCTCACTCTTACCAACACAGGGTAACCGTGATATGGACATTTTCGTATTTACTTAGATAAACCTTTCCAAATAAAGTACTGTTGATAGAATATTTACCTGTCTCAAGTCACAATCTTATTTTCAACATTTTCACATTGTATGCACAATCACAAATAACGAATATGAAAAGAGGATTTTAAAACAACACTGAGGCTTTTATAATTTTCTCTTCTGGAAATCAGCTTTGATTACTTCGCAAGTTGCATATACCTTTCCTGAAGATTTAATTCCTCTGATGAGACACAGGTACACAATGGTCCAACACACCAACAGTGACACGGCCAACTTCCAGTTGATGACACTCGGCGATTCAATTGAGGGTGCTATGTCTAAGGTTTGTCTGTACCAAAAATAGGAGGTGGAGCCACTTTTCTTTGGAGAGAAAGAAATGATACAAACTGATACAGAAGGATTCCGGTATAAATGTGCTTGGGATGCATGCTATCTTAAGAAATTAAAACTACACAATACTTACTATAATACTAGGCAGTCATACTTGTATCATTTATAATTAGTGACATGTCTGTATGATTTATTGACTATGTGTCTATGTATGGTATTATATTTGTCGTTGAATGTACCTATATATTCATATATTGCTAGAGACAACAACTATCATTTTACTAAGGCATGTGTTGAATAAATGCACGTGTTCTGTTAATTTTCAAAATTACAACTCTATTGTGTTTGACCGGGCTTGAAATATCGCTCTCAGCACTGGTACATTTGAAAATTATGGGATGTTTCATATCCCATTACTACTGAATAAATCATGTTTAATCATGCCGCCATTATATATCTTCCAAATTTATTTGTTATACATGAAGCTATCTACTGTATATATGAATGTTACTAAACAATAGCAGAGACTATTAATCCATGATATTCAGCATAATTCCAGCCTTCACCATCACATTCATTTCCCTTCCTTCATTCTCTGTACATGCTGTGCAGCTACATAAAATAGACTCAGTGATGTTATATGCTGTCCTATAAATACACAATGTACTTGTTTCTGAAGCACATGCACTTCTGCAATATGCTTATCCAGACACTCTGCGTAGTTTAGATGTTGCACAAACCTGAAAAGTTTACACACTGAATCATGTGAATTTTATGTGTAACAGAAATTAATCTTTCGACTTATATGTCGAGTTATGAAAATGTTTATAGACGTGATAATAGAACTGGTGTTGAGAAAGATGTGATACTTCTAGTAAAAAAAGAGAGACGTTTTGATCTAGTGTCAGATGATATTGCAAGGATTTAAATTGAAGTTGATTGTCATGTATTCAAATGAAGTTGTTTATACAGGACCGAATCGATTGCTGTGTACTAGAATAACAAGCTAATATGCTTGACACAGTAATTGATACCAATACTGATTTAATTACTACAGGGGACATAATTGACAATATGTTAAATAAGATTCATTTTCGTTAACTTAATTAGTGAAACTTCAAGAGCAACCCAGACCACTTCACTTTCGTTTGACATTGTCCTCACTAATAAAAAGTCCAAAAATATTCTGTACGTCCATCAGTTAATAAAAGCATCTGATGCCAAGTTTCCAATATTTGAACGTTACACTTATATGATATGGAAATGTAATGTGTTTTTCATTAGACTAATATTGTTAGTAAGAACTGTTTGTACTGATATTTCAGAATAAAACGTCGAGAACAGCGACTGCTGTTTAACTTCATTAATGGTTTCATCCAGCCCCATATTTCAACTTAAAATATCAGCATTCGTCCAAATGATAGCACCAGATGAATAACAAAAAAATGTCAAATGTATTCATAAAAGTTCATCTCAACTTTTAGGTCACAAATTAAAGACAGAAAAATCCAAGTTATTGATTTTTTCATGAAAGCATCTTGTTCGACTAGGAAATGTTGTCAATTCAGAGTTTAAATCTAATGATGAATCAATTGTTCTACGTCATTGCATGATAATTTAAACCACCTAGCCATCCTTAGATAAAAACTAAATGTTTTATAACTATTATTTACATTTTTACTTCCCCTCCAGATCTTGAGTCTCCGGTTCTTGGAGTAACTAATACTCCTTGTATTTTTGAAACCATATTGATGTCTATCTATCTCTCATTATAGTATTTAATAAAACATTAAAAAAAGTGATGTATCAAAATAAAAACTAATTTCAGTGACGTTAATTTTTCATGAAATCAAAGAAAAATGTAATATCTAAGTATCATTTAAACCATCTGAACGAAGACGAAAATCAAAAGTAAAACAAGCTTTATATCCAAAGCCTTAACCTTTAACTGTTTTTTATAAATCATACAACGAGTAAGTATAACCATTAGTACTGATCAACAAAATAAGAAGAATTTGGTATACATTTTCACACATTAAGAAAAAGATAAAAAAAAAACTTCAGTTGTCTTTTCAAAAAATGAAAACCGAACAGTCCAGATTACTTCCAAAATTAGTTTGAATGTTGCCTCACAAGTATCTCTATTTCTCAGTTGTACTATGTGTATATGATAGCAAAGAAAAGGAGTGAAAAAAGAGACAAAACTTAGCCTTTTTAATACACTGAATTCCACTTTCATGCAATGGGGATTGGATGCTGGATTCTGACAGAGAGAGAGCGAGAGACAGAGAGAGAGACACACACACACAGAGGAGAGAGACAAAGACAGACAGACAGACAGAGAGAGAGAGAGAGAGAGAGAGAGAGAGAGAGAGAGAGAGAGAGAGAGAGAGAGAGAGAGAGAGAGAGAGAGAGAGAGAGAGAGAGAGAGAGAGAGAGAGAGACACACACACACACACACACACCCACACACACACACACACACACACATACATACAGACAGACAGACAGACAGACAGAGGGAGAGAGAGAGAGAGGGGGGGAGCTAACATTATAAATATGTTTATTCATATGCAAATGTGCATTCAAATCCTTGAAATATTAAAAAATAATTTGGATAAATTAACATGAATCTAAAAATATACACGAGTATTACACTAAAACTAACATTAAAATGGAGTTATTTCCCCTTTATCAAATATCTTAGTGAATATGTTCTAAACGTTGTCTTCTTGTCCTAGGAGAAAAATAATAAAGTCTGCTCTCTAAACCTTTTGAAATAAAATAAAACCTTTATGAAGAGACTGCTCAAAGAGATGACTGAAAAATTGCAAAGAGGGTTTTAGTGCCGATTTAGTGTTAGCTTTCCCCGCTTTGCCTTGGATTTCTTAATCTAAGAGGACGTAGCATTACTATGGAGAATATTCATAGCATGCTATAAGATGAGTCCCAGAAAATATCATAAGATGACGTAATTGCTAAAAAGCATGCTTCACCAGAATTGAAGGAGCATATAAAAATATAAAAAGGGTCATAACTCCAATAAAAATAAGCGCTATTGCAAGGGTACAGCAGCATATTATGTCAATAATGTCAACAAGGATACGATGCACTTAAAACAATTTTTGAAATTGTCCTTTAAGCAATATAGTCCTGACCTCATCTTTCTCAAAGTTTATAATTAAATAACTAAATGCGCGATATTATAATTAACTTGAAACCATTGGGTTATGTGTCTTCTGCTTCAGTTGTACCATCACGATTATACAATAAATCTGAGACACCTGCAAGCCTTACATGTGTAAGTCTCTACAATAGAATCTGGCGTTGAGTGGTACGTACCTGACATTCCGGATTTACGACAGTGACGTTGCCTACGGTTGTTGAGGGACAGACTGACCAAGGAAGAGGACTTTGAAAGCTCTGTACAAGGTAGATGCAGCACCATGCCATGATGGTGTTGTAATACAAGGCAAGGTTAATGGACACTCCCGCGGAAGCCAATCCTAAACCCTGTAGAAATGGCGAGACTTGATTCCAGGCCCCGACTGCCCCCTTCCGGAGGCGCTGACCAACGGCTAGCTCGAGGTAGAATAGAGGAATTCCCTCAATAACCAACATCACGGCGTACGGAATGAGGAATGCTCCTGGAAAGAAATGAACAGGTGCATTTACTAAGCTGTACATTCACAGTTATACATTCTAAATTTTGCAAATCATCGCTAAATTATATTGAATCTTTTGCTTCTGTAATGCAAGCTTAGTAATGGACACATACCAACACAATCAAGGCTTCAAATGTCATGAAAGTTTGAAGTATTTAACTAATTTCTACATCAAATCATGGTCGAAGTTATGACGTTCTATTCAGTTGTCTTGATTCATTATAACACATGTTTATATTTGATGCATTACTGTCTGTATTTTGTGAATTAGAGTTTACTGCAAGGTCGGTACCGTTGATGTGACCAAACATGACAGACCACATCTTCAACGGAAATCGTAAAATTATAATTCACTCACTCTTCAAATATTACATGTCGCTTTAAGTTTATACAAGGTAAAGCTCATGTTGTTAAACTTTATCTTTTCGTCAGTACGCTCTAATTTGTAATAACTCTGTCAAATATATTTGAGTACCACCATTTTCTATTGGCAGACCTTTCAAAACTCGACCAGTGGATGTATTTCATCAAATATTTTTAGTTCTTAATGTAAATCGTCCAACACCAATCTATTTTAAAACGTCACTCGAAAATGCAAATATGTGAATGTAGCTAAATGTTCAAATATCACAGATAAGTAAGCTAAAATGGTATATTAATGAAATACACATCAATAAAAAATTGCAATAAGTTAGTATAAGGCGCGCAAAGATTAGAGACAACTTGATTTTTCTATACCGGGAGACAGATTTCTACAAAATATACATTTAAACCATAACCAGATGGGGTAGAACAGATAGCAGTGCATAACCTGATATACCATCTGGTTTACATAGGGCTAAACGGGAAGCTGGTGGCAGAATGGAATTATATATCTATATTTACCTTCTGGTGGCACAAGCTGGGCTACGTCTCGGTCATAAATTTATGCTCATATGACACGCAACGAAAAGATGTCTACAATGTCTGTATCGCTAAAACTAACATAATTTGGTCAGACTATACACAGCTATTTTCCATTTCTCAAACATGGATATTTTTAGTATATTGTAATAAGATTATAGAGTCCTAATTGAAACAAACATGAAGTTTTATGTAATTACTCCATAACATAAAACTGTCGTCTTTGGTATTATCTGAGAGATATGAGATTACTTCAAAAATACATTTTTTTAGTTGCTTTGAGTTCAAATAAAATTAAATTGTATTTACTAACTTTAATGACTAATTGATTTGACGTAATGAAGCACGACAAATTGGAATTGGAATTGATGCTTAAGGTTTGTTATTGCTTCATTGTATAAAATATATTTGAAGTCCATTTTAAATACAATTTATTTAGTTTAATGCATGCTCTGGGGCCCCTTTATGGTCATCTATGATCATTAATTAACACCAATGTATATGGCCTACCTGATGCTAGAAAGTAGCATGTTATGGTATATCAAAAGACACGCGTTCAAACACTCAACACGTTTGGTAGGTTTGGCCTTGACCTTTGGTCAGTTTTTCATTTGATCCGACATTCGACCCTTTATTCAAACATGATAGTTGAAAGCATCTTTGTAAAATAGAAAAGTGCAAATGATATGAAACTTGGCCGAGAACAACCCGCTTAGTTTTGTAAAGTAAAATAATGTTATCCATGATTTATCAGAAGTACTTGCTAAATCTTCATGAGGTTTCCCAAGGCCCGTAGTTATGGCTGTTTGATATCAGAACAAACTGATATTATAGGAGGTAAATGGACCACACCTGCATATTGTTACTCAACAAACAAAAAACAATTACATTGTAAGAGCAAAGTATAAGGCAGATATCATAAACTAACGTCGAACCAATTCATCTCTTGATATGCATTAGTCTACACATTTGATTCCCTTCTCTAGAACGGCAGAGAAACAAGAAAAACAAAAACAAAATCAAGAACTTTTGGTTAAATCAGGTTGAAATAACATTATTTAATGGATTCGCTGTTGAATAATTGTGTATGCTTCATTGCCTCATTGTATATAACTTGAAACAGCCGTGTGGACACGTCTGACTTTATGATTTCAATAGAACATAAGGTCAATTGTGTGTTTTTTGTGACTTTGGTCGATGGACCAACATCTAATCATGATGTTAGCTTAGACATGGTGTTGGGGAGAGTTGTGGCGTGGCTATATTGGGAATAACACGAATGTCTTATGTATCTCAATTTTAGTCAATTACCAACGGAATTCAATACAGTTGGTATGTGCAGTCCCCTTCATGAAATAAAGATTAGGGAATCTTAGAAAAAGACACGATGAGAAGTGGTTATGTTTAAATCAATATAACACCATTGATAAGAAAGTCATAAAAAGGTAATGAAAGCACAAAGAAAAAACCTACATGTCAACAAAATTATGTATTGGACTCAATTCAATAAAACAAGGACAAAATAAAATCTAACATAATTAGTCGGGGACATCAAAACAAGTAAAAAGACACTAAAAGACCAGGTGTTCAAAAAGAGTAAGCGTCTTATGCTTCATCATCGATGACACCCGTTTTTTAAAACTTCGTCAATCCAAATACAACGGATACAACAGGTATGTTAATGAGCATCAAACACGTCCAGGTTTATAAAAACATAAAACTTCTCAATCATTTCCATCACCTTGCACCTCTCGAATCCCTGTGTTGTAATTTTGTCTGTCAGCTGCCAACAGCTTATACGAAAACCGTGATATTGTGAACTAACCCTTGAATATCGAATCGACTGCTTTTCGATAAATTCAGTCTCATATTAAAAACAAAAACAAGTCGGCTAAAAGAGTGGCAAAATGTGTTCCCACAGGTATTTTGATTATCTGTTGGAACACCTTAACGCCAAACTCGATGAAGATGTTGTCAGCCAAAAATTGGATCTGTTTAACCAATTTTCCCCTTATAGTTCATCTTCGATTTGGAATTAGTTTTACCAAAGTACGCTTCAGTCTAGTTCACAACAATATATTTGTACAGCCGTTCACCTTTCTTTGAAATGAAAGCTCTCAGGAAAAACAGAGAGAAGGTTTCTATCAATATTGGATCATTTAGAACAGTCTCATTCTGCAAGTTAAAACACAGATTAAAACAAATAAGTACACTAGTCCTTAATCAAGAAATGCTCCACGACCTTATTGCACGGCATAGGATAGCAATTATTTTCTAATTAGTTGGGAGACTTATCCGCATATTACTGGTTTAATTGGTGTTAGTATTGTAGTATTGTCTGCTGTTTGAAGTGCTATCTATATCTACAACTCCGCGTGCAGTACTCATTTTCTGGATTCATTCCAAGCTAAATTGTTACCTATTGGGGTTGTATATATCCCTTACCCACACCTCTTCAACATAGTATAGACCTGAAATTTTCAAGATCATGGATACAATATTGCCTTATGTAAATAATAAAGAGCATTCCACATCAACAGATATGCTTTCGTTTTCTGTTAAAGATGAGAGAAATAAAACAATTCCTGCTACATTTTGAAATCTGGATTTTTGCATTATCCTGTAAGTTGTCCTGTTAGAACAATTTAAACAATGTCATAATGAGTTCCGGGGTATAATAACACAACTATCACACATATCAAGACTAACAAACACATCTCATATTTCCCAGTGATGGTGACAATTAAAGATTTCGGTAGATTTTTTCAACCAGCACTTAACTTCCCTAATCCTTTGGTTTCTACCATTGATCATCAGCTGTAACAGCTGTAACCAACGTTCAGAGATATAATGATATTGTAAACAACCCCTTGCATATTGAATCAACTGCAGTGTATAATCGGTATACAGTTTAGATAAATGATATTATTGCCTGAAGTAAAGGCTTCAAGTAATACAGAGATGATCAAAAGACTTCACACGAACACTACGTCCACTTGACACTTGTGCCTAAGCTATAAAAAGCGAGCTGCCAATAACTTGTGCTTTAGCGACAGAGAATGCCACCTGCTGTTGACATGCCAGTGGTTCACATTTCCTTAAGATATTACACCTAATCAAGAAACATGAAAAGTGATACCAGAAAATCAAATTAAAAATTGATTATTGTGCAACTAATCGGACGAAGTAATTTTCAGTTCCGTCTTTCCCCCATGTTTTCCAGATCGGTTTATTATCGAAAGCTGTGCATTGACTGTGAATGGCGGAGTAATGGGTTATCAATGTCTTGCTTTTAATTTGGTTTCATTGCCTGAAGTCTCGTTAATATATATTGTCATTTCAGGACAGCCTTCTTTTGTATGTGAGATACGGGAATGTGCTGAATGCGTGTTTATGGCAGCTTTGATATGTTAGTGAAAGCCTCGCAATCTAAATCTATTGGAGTGTATGAGGTATATCACAGCATTATGTAAAGGTTTTTGTAGATAGATGATAAGTCTATATAGGTCGTTATGGTATATGGTGATTTAGGTTCCTCTTCCGAATCATACAAGTAGAAATAGCAGATGCAATTATTACGCATCATGGAAAATGACGTAGTAGAAATGGAGTCACGTATGGCTTTGTTTAATTTGTGAATAAAGATAGCTATGTCAGAGAATTTAATTCGGCTTAAGGCAATAATTAACAAAAGACATTCTTTACAAGATATGACAAGCGATGTTAGTTGTTTATCTATTTTATTCTTTTCACATTTGATTTTCTGGAATTAGGAAGAACATTTGTTCACATCCATAAACTGATGTCTGATGTATACTGCCACCGTTAATAAGAGCGAACGGTCGCATGTATGCAAAGCAAAAAAGATCCATTAATGACAAATCATTATTTAAATATTTCCAAAACTAAAGGGGAAAATTACAGATTTCGAATAGGAGTTGAATAATTACTGTATCTGGATATCATTTTTATATAATTAATAGCGATCAAGCGATACCGTCAAGATTGAACAACAACATACGTTATTGTACTACCAATATCAATATTTCTTATACATACTATTTATGTGCTACATACCC